CACAACTTGGCTTGGCTTGGACATGGCCGGAGTCCTCATTCTATCTGAAAGAAGTCTCTACCTCTTGGTGGCTCTGCCCTGCCCACCTGGCTCAGGCTTGACACAATATTAAAGGAAAGTACAGCCCTAAACTGGATCGGGCATTTCCCGGGGACAATCAGGGCTAGGAAAGGTCCTCTAAGCATGCTTTGGTCTTCCCCTCAAAAGCTATGATAACCGGCTCATACTGGGAAGGAGATTTACATTATTCATAGACCTTGACCTGAGGCAGATCTCTCGTGTTCCTCCAATAGTTATCTATGATCTCTTTTTGTTTTCTGTAAACATAGCCTTTTGACATTGATTGATGAGCTTTGTTGTATACCCCTGAGCATATGGTTCTCAATAAAAGCCTTTGGACACAGGGCTTGTGGCTTCTCACTAGAGAAAAGAGCCCTTTCTCCTCTCCTGGCAAACAGAGAAATTTTCGGCAAAGACTCATTTTGTTTGTCCCCATCCGTGACAACCCCAGGAGAGGCTCTGCGGGATCAGAGCCGTCGCTCTCACCTCAGCTGGCCCCAGACAGTGACCCTCAGGTCCAGGACCCCTGTGCTCCCTGCAACATTCCCCCCCCTCCCAAATTAATAAGCAGTTTTAGAGCATCTTTTATATGCTAGGCACTAATTTGGATTCCTAGCAATAATAAAATAAATAATATTAGGCCTTGGCCTTAAGAAACTCTGAGTATAATGCACAAGAAAGACATAAACAGTAGTTAGAAACTGCGGTTTGTGCTTTAATAGAAGTATAGGTACCTATGTGGACTGATTTTCAAGAAGGTGGCTATATTTTCCCCCAAAGTTGACCTCACACTGTGTAAAGCTTGAAAGTTCACAAATTTCTCTTTTGTTATTAGAGCTAGCATAATACAGTAAAAAAATAATACCTGACTAGTAGTCAGAAAGTCGTGTTTGAGATATGGTGCTTCCACTTAGTAGTTCTAGGATTTTGGACCAGTCTCTCAGTGATGAAATCTTATTTTCCTCAATTATAAGTTAGGGATGGTAGCTACATCAGGCTATAATGGGACCAAATGAGATGCAAGAAAGTGATCTGTTATCTTTAGACAAAGTTCTACATTATACTTTGTTTAAAGGGTATTATAAATATTAAACACCAATGCAATAATCAATTCATTCAGAGTTTTTGGGTTTATGGTTTTGGTCCTGGGAAGATGTGCTAGAGAAAGTGCTGTGTTTGACTGTAAACAGATACATGTATGCATATCTACTTTCTCCCCAAGTACTGTGAAGAGAATGAAAATGTTGTAAGAGTAGTGGGTGCTTTATTAATGGAGAAGGAAGCAGAATTAAGCTGGTTAGGATAGAAAAATGTACCAAAAGTAGATTAATATAAAACTCACTCACTCACTGACTCACGGATTTACCCGGTGTTCTCCTGATCCTCATAATCATCATCAAAATAATTTATTAAACGCTAAATAAAATCCATACATTCCATGGTATGCAGGTAAATGTTTAACAACCAACTCTCTGGGAAGAAACCAAACATATGATAGAAAACACTGGCCAATTTCTGTTGTGTAAATATTCCTACCACAGCCAATTTTAGGCTACTAACATGACATCACTGAATAGGGAGTTGGGATGAGATGCACAGCAGCACACACTTACATATGATTTCCTTCATATGAATAAAATAAACATAAAAAATCTGAAGAGTACAGATAATAATAAACAGCAAAAGATCAGGAAGTGACGTTTTGAGTATTTGCTAGATCCATTTTAGAATTATTTAAATGCAATTCAATTTTATGTAATTGTTAATATTAGTTGAACATCCAGCTTGCAAAATTCTGAAAATTTAGCTATTAGCTCTCATGAACCTATATGAGCCAATGGTGGCCCAAAACTGGGTATGTTGGTTATTGCACCAGTATTATACTAGTTATGGTACCTAACTTCTGGGAAGACATTTTATTAGGAACCTTTCTCTATTTTCCTATCGTAAGCTCCTAGATATCCACACTGTGTTGTAATCTCATCTCTCTCCCTCTATATTTGAATTCCCTGAGACCAGTGACTGGACTTGTAATTCCACATCTTCTGTTTCTAGCACTGTTCCTGGAACAGGGAAAGCTCAACTAATGCACATTGAAGAAATAAACTGACCTGGATCTAGCTTCTGTTCTCCTAACATGATGGACAAAGACACATAGCAACAGAATACACCCGCACAACTTGAATAAACATGTGAATGGATACTAAGCTTTTTGTATTACCTACAAGTGGATTTAGTGGGAAGGAAAACAATAGGGATTATGGATCAATGCAAACATGCTCAGTTCTTTTTCTACCCTGTTGTGACTTAACACCAAAATACAACCGTGTTTCCTGACCTCATCTGTTTACTTATATTCTTTTGATGTTCAAATATGTAAGAAGTAAAAGCAGCACATGTTCATTATAGAAAAATTACAATATGGGGAAGCACAAAGAAATAAAAGCCACAATATTAACGGGGTTGATATCTAAGTGAAGATAGGTTAATAGCACTTGGAAAGCACCAAATAACAGTGGCTTAAGCAAGGTGCTTTATTTCTTCTTCAAGTAGAAGTTTGGAGCAGTGTACTCAGGTGGGTATGGTGGCTCTGCTTCCCAAAGTACCTGTCTGTGTTAGATGCCATTGAGTCGACTCTGACTTCCAGCAAGTGTATGAATGAATGATGTCCACAATGTCCTTTTCTCAGGGGCTTAATTTCCTTCCAGCTCAGGAATTGCTCATCCTTAGAGTGGCCCTGTTCCTCAGGGTCCATGTAAGCACATACCCTCCTGGAAGCAGGATGGAGAATGGCATGAAGAAGAAGAGACATGGGGCCAGCTGTCTCTCTAAGGAGGCTTTCTAGAACTTGCCCTGTGGCACATGCATTACATCCATTTGTTAGAACACAGTCACAGGGACACCTTTAGCTGCAATGGGCCTGGGAAATGCAGCCTTTATTCTCAAAGCCACGTGCTTAGTTAAAATTTCTGTTACCACTGAAGAAGGAGAAAGGATTTTTAGGGCAAACAATTTCCTGCAGTTATTTCTTAGTAAAAAATACGAACAGAGGAACTGGAAAGTTAAAAGTTATAACCATATTCAAGGTTTTTGATGCATATTGATAAATTTACCTTCAGAAGCTCTGTACACATTTACACTTGCAAGGAGATATATAAATATTTTATATTAAACACCAACACAGGAATCAATCAATTCATTCAATGTTTCCTATATGGCTTTGTTGCAGGGAAGATGTGGTAGAGAAAATACTTAGTGTTTGATAGACCTGGGCTTTATTGTCAGGACTCTTTCAGCTGCAAGTGATAGATAGCTTATGAAGAATGTTGATTTTATTCAGATATTCAGGTTTAGTATATGTTGGAACCTGAAGCTGGAGAATTAAAAGTAAAGTTCTTCTGGAGAGGAATGGAGAGGAGATTATACAAGTAGCTGCAAAAATTTTGAATCCTAAAGAGAGAAGAGCAAGTGTAACATGATGTCCTTTTAATGGCCTGGATGGGCGTTCCATGTATGTTTTCATCATTCGCCATATGGCAGGCAATGTCCTAGGTGCTTTATATACACTGTATCATTAAATTCCCAGGGCCGTCATATTTCTTCTATATATCCATATTTTACACATGATGAGTGAAGGCCCAGGAAAGGTCATTGGGAATGGAGCTAGAACTTGATTCCCATTCTGTCCGATTTCAAAGTTTTGCTTTTCCCCTTTCTACTCTGAAGCATGAACTGATAAAAAACAAATTTGGCAGGAATCGCTTTTGCTGTAGCATTTGAATTACCTTAAGGGTATGACCTGTTATAAAGGGGAAGAAGGACCTCATGAGATTTGTATCTTACAAGGGGCCTTTTTTTTAAAAAAAATTTGAGTTGGATAACTGCCTCTCTTTTCTCGTAATACCTAATGTTCACTCTAAGACATATGGGTCTTACCTCTGTTGTGGTTGTCTACTTGTTTTGTTGTCTGCTACCAGACTTGTATCTTGGGTGCTAGGTATCAGGTCTTACATATCTTGAATTCTTAGGGTCCAGCAAAACGCTTGGAACACAGTAGGTACTCAATAAATATTTGCTGAATGCATTCTACAAACATCCATGGTCATATTAATACATATTTACTGAAAGAGAAATTTTATTAATTTACTAAGACACTAAATTTTAAGAGGTATACATAAATAACTAGACTAATATAAACTTATGATTTTAATCATGTTATAAAGAGAGTGTTTATAAGGCAACTGAACTTGTGAATAATACTGAGTGCCTACAACTTGCCAGACTGTTTTAAGTGTTTAACATTGTATTTTGTTACTTAATTGTCACAAAAACCTTACTAGGGTAATAAATTGTCCCCACTAAAAAAATGGGAAAAATTGAAAAAACAGGACATGAATCCAGGTAGATCTGTTCTAAAATTTCTGTGTTTAACAACTAAGCTATTTTACCTCACCATTGCATTAGTTTATGGGAATAATAACTATAATTATTTTGCATGATTCCATAGTAATGTCTTCTAATAACACATAAATCCTTATCCTGTTACTTTGTCTGGCAACTGGAACTTCTCCGCCAAAGGCACCGACTCTCCCAGAGGAACCCAAGGTATCTTGGAAAATTGCTGCTTTTATATAACTTCGGCAACCTCTACTCCACCTCCAAAACCAAAGAGTAATTTGCAATCAACATAATTCATTACTCACTTTAATAATCATGAAATTTTACGTCATTTCTCCTGAAAAAGTCCACGTGCACCTCCCAGGGGATTTCCGTACTCCAGAGGCTTCCTGGGGAACGGACACCTCGGAATCTTTGCAGACGCTGCCTCTCAGCCTTCTCGCCGCAGAAACTACACTTCCCAGGGGTCCGTTCGTCCGCGCGAACTTGCTTTCCCGGCTCCCGGAGGCGTCGCTGAAAAATAACCGACGCTTTGCGGGGCGGTGGAGGAGGGAGAAGGACAGGGCGCACCTCGAAATGGCTCAGATGCAGGATGAGCAGAGGGGCGGCGCGCCCTTGGTGGCGGAAGGGAAGTCGGATGCAGAGGTTAAGCTTATTCTGTACCACTGGACGCATTCCTTCAGCTCCCAAAAGGTAAAGGCCTCGGCCCGGAGGGCGGGCGGTGAGGATCAGGTTTCAGCACCGGACAGCTCCCTCTGGGCCTCACCCAGGCCGATGGCCCAGCTAGAAAACAGGCCTCGAACTCCCTAACCGGACGGTGCTCCCTCGAGGGCAGGGATGCGCCTTAGCGGGGAGCAGGGAAAACCGGCCTGAGATGTAAAGGATAGGACCCGGGCACTCCTACTCATGAAATAAGACCAAAAGCTTCACTTTCAGGTGTTTGCGCTGGAGGCCTTGTCCCCTTGGCTTTTGCAGAGTGAGGCAGAAGGAAGCGCCTTGAAACAGCTGAATAATCTAAAGTTTGTTTTGTTTTTTTTTTCTCTATTTTGTTCCTCTCCACTCTCTTTCACAAGGCCTAGCATATCTGTATTTCAGGTTCTTGTCTGCGGAAAGATATTAGGTTTAGGGCACAAAGAACTAGTGATGGGGAGTGTGACTGTAAATTACTATAGCCAAAATCATTTTCATTGCTTATCTTTCTAATTTATAAGAACAAGACACTAGAACATCTAACTTGCTAATTCTAGAATAGGAATACAGTCACCCAGGGCTTAACAACAGGTACACATTCTGAGGAATATATCATTAGGCGATTTTGTCAGTCTGTGAATATCATGGAGTGCACATTTACAGACCTAGATGGTATAGGCTGTAAGATATAGTCTGTGACTCCTAGGCTACAAGCCTGTACAATATGTCACTATACAAAACTACATGAGATTAAATCAAGCACAGGAGAAAATGATGCAATCAAGAGATGCATAAACAGAAAATATATAAGGCTGTTGCTGGTGTGTTGTGACATACTCTTTTCCAACAGGTATACTCAAAAATAATGATAAAAAGTGTAGTATATACATAGATCAGTAACATAGTCATTTATTATCACTATCAGGTATTATGAACTGTACATGATAGCATGTACATAATTTTATACAGCTGGCATTGTAGTAGGTGTGTCAACACCATCATCGCCACAAACACCTGAGTGATATGTTGTGCTATGATGTTAAGATGGCTACATCACTAAGCAACAGGAATTTTTCAGCTCCATTATAATCTCATGGGACCATTGTCAATGTGCAGTTTATCATTGACCTAAAGGTGGTTGTGCTATGCATGGCTGTAGTTAAAGAATGTTGAAAATATTAATAACTTAGGGAAACACAGAAAAACTGCTTAGTAGTATCCGGAGATATCATTGAACTGAAAGCCTGCATGCCCTGTGGTAACCAGTGTGAACTCTTCCAGGTGCGCTTGGTAATTGCTGAAAAGGCATTGAAGTGCGAGGAACATGATGTAAGTCTGCCCCTGAGTGAGCACAATGAGCCTTGGTTTATGCGTTTGAACTCAACTGGAGAAGTGCCTGTCCTTATCCACGGGGAAAACATTATTTGTGAGGCCACTCAGATCATTGATTATCTTGAACAGACTTTCCTGGATGGTAATGTTAAGGCTATTTGTGATTTCTTGGATTTACTTTTAACACAAATCTGTTTCCCTCCATCCATCTTCCTTTCCTTCCTTCCTCCTTCCCTTTCTTACTTTTTCTTTCTTTCTTTTTGGTTTATGATGGTGGTTTAGTGATAAAAAAACTTTTCCATTTCCATAAGCACACAAAATATATAAGTCAATAACATAAGTTTTGTATCAACCAGTATAAACTCCATGTGAAAGAATTTCATGTGAACCAGAAATTTTAATGTTTTAAATTTCGTTCAAAAAATCCTGCAGGTGTGTGGCTTTGGTGATAATTTAGTTGCCTTGAAGTCAAATTCATAATACTGATTTTAAATGTACACTATGCAAATTAGTTTCATCTATTCTACCAAATGGTTCCACGGTAAAAACGGTAAGAGGGAAAAAGAGGAATAAGTTTTAGTCAAGGGAGAATAGAATGTTGGTATACTTTGAGTTCTTTGTTCCTGTTACTCCTGTATAGATTGACTTTCATATCATTTGTAAGGGATTGATTATAGGGCTTAAATTGATATAGTGCTTTTAACTAATAATCACTTGTTGGTAGCCTGTTTTATATCAGGCATTTTATAAGTTCTGTTCTCTTCAGACTTCAAAGAACCCACCTGAGACAGGTGCAGTAGACTAGTTATTCCTATTTTGTACATGAGTGGTTGCCTAAGGTAATATAGCTGTTTTATGGCAGGGTGGGGCTGGAATGCAAGTCTTTCAAATCCATACCTTCATGTTGTACCAACTGTTTCTCATGGTGATTACCACATATACGTTGTGTTTCTTGCTCCTCATGGCAACCCTTTGAGGTGAGCTATAACTTCACTGATTTGCCCAAGATCACATAGCTGAACCCTGGCAGGATTCAGAATAGAACATGCGGCTTCTCGCTTTCACCTGCATGATATCCAGTTACTCCTCATTCTACCAGTTATGTTGATGTCAGTCAGGCAGATTAAAACCAGAATATAACCTCAACTCACTGGAAAAGAAGAAAGAAATTTAGCCCCATAAATGTCTTTTCTTTTTTACTTAAAAGGAAAATATTTATACATGGGACCTAAATGGAACAGAGACCCCAGGGAATTGGATGAGCAATGGGCTACTTCTGTTCTTAATCCAGGTGTTTACTTCTCTAGGATTTGGATTGGAGGAGGTTTTATTAGAGGTGGCCATTGATCTATACCAAGGAATTTAATGAACTGTGTTTTCTTTCACCATTACTTGCCATTCCTCTGAATCTATATGCTGGGGATTATACTGAAAATAGTGGCTAATTGATTTAATACAATTTTTTTCAACTCTGAGCTTTTTGGAAATGGACAAGTCTGTTAAATAATTATTTGTATTTCCTGGGAGAAGTGATTATAATAATGTGAATAAACCAAAAACAATTTTACAAGAATTCTGTTTTAAATAATCACAAACTTTTAAAAGCTACAGTAAATGGAAAATCATATTTAAATCTTTTGTTAGTATCCCTTGAAAAACTACTACTACCATTCTCCTCCTTCTCCTTTTATCTTTTTTTCCTTACATTGTTTTGCCTCTAAGATAATCAGCAATATGAAATATATTACTTTATAACATAGTATCATTAATGATTATTAGGCTTTCTTAAAATTTTCTTTAGGTTTTTTCTTTTTCTTTGATTGTATAATAACACAACTGAAACATAATCTGAGTCCTGCTCTAACAAGGGAAATACTAGGTTCTTATTACTATTTAGTCAGTCAGAGGAGAAGCCATTTTGGGCTTAATGTTAAGATGAAAATATGGAAACTGAGGACTTTAATTTTGGTTATACCAACAGAATAAGTAAGGAATCAAGAATCCTGGCTTTTAGTCTGCAGTTGGCCCTAATTTACTGCATGTTTTTGGTGACTTGACTTCTCTTGGATTAGGAGATATAGTTTTATCAATTGCAGAAATAAAGCAAGTCCAATTGGTTCCTATCTTACTCATACTTCTTCCCTAGGAGAGTAGTCATTCAGTTGGATAGGGTTGAAAAAGATTAAGATTCAAGGACCTAAAACCCATGGTAGATATAAAGACAGCAAGAGAACAGTTACATAAATGAAGGCTAGTCTAGTCTATAGAAGTTTATCCCTAAGTATTAAATAAAAAACAAACATGTAAGCATTATCACAGTTATCATTAAGATACTTTATCATTAGGAACTCATGGAGATTAGGAAAAGAATCAGACAAATGATAGACAAATATTATCCTAATTGTCAAGGATGGGGAGAGGGGAATTCTACCAATACATGTTACTTAAAGTATATTTTATTGACCAGCAGCACTGCTGTCACTGGGAGCTTGTTAGAAATGCAGAGTCCCAGACTACTGCACATCTCTTGAATCAGAATCTGTATTTTAATAAGATCCCCAAGTGATTCAAATAGACATTAAATTTGAGAAGCACTGCTGCAAATTAATGTGCATTAAGTAATTGTTTAAGCTGAAAGAAGTGCTATAAATAAGTATCTTTAATTGAGACAGTTCTAGAGTGGATTATCAAAAATTTAAAGAAATATGAGGTTTGTCCTGAAAAAGCCCAGCCATTGTTAATATAACGAGAACAGTTTGCACAACATCCATGTAACCTGGCAGCCAATGAGAGTGGACTGGAATGCACATACATGAATAATGATGGCTTCACTGTACTAGTCAGTGGGGATGGTAGATGCTGTTAAGTAAGCATGTGTACTGTGTGGCTGTCACATTCAAAATGACTGAATGATTAGAGCAATGAATCTACATCTAATTTTGCGTTAAGCTTGAACATTTCTCTGTGGAAACTAGTCAGGTGATTCAGAAGGCTGCAGCTGTGGGAAACTGGTGACTGGCAGCTTCATCATGACAATGATGAGGCTGCTCATGCATCACGTCTTATACAGAGTTTTTTGGTGAAACATTAAATCACCCAGGTAACTCAGCCTCCCTACAGCCCAGATTTGGTGCCCTTTGACTTCTGGATTTTCCCAAAACTAAAATCATCTTTGAAAGAGAAAAGATTTCAGACCATTGATGAGATTCAGGAAAATATGACGGGGCAGTTGACGGCCACTGGGAGAATTGTGTGAGGTCCCAAGGTGCCTACTTTGAAGAGGACTGAGGTGTCATTGTCTTATGTGCAGTGTTTCTTCTATCTTGTATCTTCTTCAGTAAATGTCTCTATTTTTCATATTACATGGCTAGATACTTGCTGAACAGACCTTGCACATGTAAATTTTGAGCATCTCAGTTAAAAGAAACCAGCTTATGTTTGCATTACTGGAGAATGTCAGTAACTAACGCTTTTTAAAATATTAGTCTGTTATGTGACGGGCATGATTCTCAATATAGTGTATCTTGATTTAAGTAGAGCATTTACAAGTACTTCATATGATGGATACACTTGTGGAATGAAGGAGCCAATATGGCTAGATGAAATGTACATTTTCAGATGAATAAATCACCACATTGAAGAATACTCATTTTAGATTTCTTATACCAGTTGCTCCTTTAGCTATATACTGTCATTTACTTATCATATAAAAATTTTATATCACTTTATTTTAATTATTTTAATTGCTTGTAGACCACTCTAAGCACCATGAGGTCAGAAACAGTGTTTGTCCCATTAAAAACTGTATTCCCAATGCCTCATATGGTGAACGTTCTTTGATAGGAACTTAGTAAATACATATGAATGATTAAAATGAATAAATTATTGAAAATAGATGTCAACCTGGACAGGGATCTCTACTGGTATTCTTATAGGCTTCTACTCTCTGAGGAGCCTAACTATTCCATAAATGACTTGAATAAAGACATTAAAGAAATACTACTACATTTGTAAATAACAGAAAAAAAAGGATAGTTAAAATGATGACTAGTTTATGAAATGTTTCTAATGGAACAATAACTAAGATAAAGTTTAACAAGGATATATGTAGTATGTGAATTTTGTTTTTAAAAATTGTTTCCGTTAATGATGGATGGGAGACCTGACTGGCTAATAAGTTACCAGTTAGAGCCACTAATAAAACAAAAATGCTGGAGTGATCTCATATTGTTTTAAAAGTACAGGTTCTATCCAGAACATGGTGAACTGTAACCTGCTACATTCTTAACTGGTTGTAATATATAGCATTTTGTCCAATTATGGATGAAACTTTGAAGAAGTTGGCAAATTAGAATGATAATAAATGAATGGATTTTGTGAAGCATATAGTTGCCCATGGTTATAATAGGATAATTTAATTAAGCTTATCCATTCATTTAAAAAACAGAGTATAATGAACTAGTATCTCCTTTGCTCTTAGTATTTGGTATCTCAATTTAGTGTATCAAATTCAGCTGGGCATTATACTAAAAATGATGGCTTGCTGATCTGCAAACCTTTCTCAACTTTTCTTTGTAGTCAGTATTTCCATATTTATATCTTTATGGGATAAGTCTACTAAATAACTGCTAGTTTCAGGGGAGAAATTTGATTGCCAAAACAGTACTCTCTAAGTTTTGGCCAAAGGAAGTGAATGTCTTAAGATGAGTGATGGCTGTGCTTGATTTTTTTTTTAAAGCAGTTACATGGAAGACTGGTGTAGACATCAGTGATGTTCCTGAGATCAGAACTTGAGTCAAAGGAAGAATTTAGAAGTGCTCTCTTATGGCTGCTCAATCAAGGACTGTCCAAGAACAATCTTTTCATTCTTTCAATAGATATTTATTGAGTATTAATTGGTACAAGGTCCCAATTTAAAAGACCCAAATTATTGAAACTTACTAATCTTCAAAAATAATTTCATTCCATAAATTTGAAGATAATGCCAAACCTGCCTGCAATACATGCATGTGCTATTACTACTACTCAGTTTTATAGATTTTTTTCATGTGTGTGATAGCTTTTCTTCTCTGGGCATGTAATGAAGAATAGTTATAGTAAAGTGAGCAATTTATTAATCTACATGAGGTATGATAGTAAGCA